CTGAATTTACACTTGAAAAATCTATAGCTGAATTCATGCCAAGTACCCCCATCCAATTCCCCATAAGAAGAATTGCCAGCACAATTTTCCTTCACTTGTATATTTGAAGAAGTGAGCTCCGACTCATGAAAGCTCTCATTGAAATATATGTTGTTAGTCTTTAAGGTAACACTGGATTTTGGTTTTAGAAAACTATCTGTACATTTTGCCATTTATTTCTGGATGTAACAGGTCAAGAGTGTTAATTTTTATTTTAAATGAAAGCTGAGCATCCAGATTAGCTAAGGGGTACTGATTGGAGTGCTCAGATTCTAGGTGGGACCCAGCCAATAGGGCAATATGGCAACCCAAGTCAACACACATCTCTTATTACTTGTAAGAAAGATTATAAGTTTCCACTTCGATTACAGTGGTGTCCAAATATACTCTAAAATAAAATTGCAAACTGCAATAATTATGAAGGAAAGTTTTAAATTATTTTCTTAATTTATACCCTGTCTTTCTCCCCAATGGGGACCCAAAGTGGCCTACATCATTCTTCTCTCCTCCACTTTAGCTTCACAACAACCCTGTGAGATAGGCTAAGATTGTGAGACTGTCTCAAGGTCACCCAGCAAGCTTCCATACCAAAGCAGAGATTCAAACCTGGGTCTCCCAGATCCTAGTCTAACTACTATACAGCACAGGTTTTCAGAATGTATAGCCAAGAACGCTTAAGCGAGTGCAATTCAGGCATCCACTTACAAGGTAAAACGATTAAATCTGTCTGCTATTTAAAATGTGCTTTTTTAAATATATGGCAATATCCAGCCTTCATGTTCCAATACCATACAACTCTAATTAGCCCATAAAATGGTAACTGAAGACTTGGCTTGCCTTGGAGCCATGCTGGGAAGGGAAAGTGTATTTAATTATATCATGATTTAGTTTCCTTGTTCCAAATCAGACTACTTGGATTGTTTTTAAGGGGGGAAATGTTTGTATATAACAAATAATTATTTTCTTCATTAAGCTGCTATTAACAAAGCAGGGAGCTCTTTTGAGCTGAAAGCAAATTAGTTTGTACCTAATGAATATGTATTTCTTTAATCAATGGTCTTGGACAGTAAATAAACATTGATTGATCGAAAGCAGGGAGCTCAGTTTCAAACAATAAAACTGAGTGGAGGTTGAAAGGTTAAACCCCTTTGCCCTTCCCTGTGTGAGGCAAATTGAGGCTGCACAGACTTGCAGTTTGCATTTTAGGAAAGCATGAGACATAAGATCTTCATCTTCTCTCTCCAAGCCCAAAGTTACCTAAACTAAGAAGTAACAATACAGACCAAATGATTAATCAGTGACTGCTAACAGCCTAGCCAATAAAATGTGTTGCAGCATCACTTGCAAGGATCCACAGGCTACAGGCACAGAGTGAAATCATCAACTTGAACATCTGCCATCCATCATAATGCCTGGGATGGAAAAACAGTGCTGATCATATCTAGAATTATGAAATGTTTCCCCAGCTCTTCTGAGACTTGCTCCTGAAAATGTAGTATCAGCTATTTATTTCAAATATTTATTGTCCACACTTCCCATGTTAAAACATCTCCAAGGCAGTCCAGAACTTGATTTAAAAGCAGTAGAAAAAATAGCATAATAAAACAAATATCAGCAGACAGCAACCAAAACATTCAAATATGAACCATAAAATAGCAAATATAAAACACCAACAGGTGACAGGTACTAGTAATGTCAGAATTGGTCTATCCTCGATCATCCCTTGGAGCAGGCAAAGTTTAAATCAGTACTATCTGTTAATAAGGGGAAGAATCCCATACCTGAACTTTCACAAGAGTTCCTCCTTATTGGGCATTTTTAACATAAATTATTAATAGATAGTACTGATTTAACATAAAAGAGCAGTTTATTAACTAGTATTATTTGTTTTCATCTTGATAAGCTGAAATCAAAATTTTAAGAAACATTCTTCACCATAAAGTCTAAACATGGACTTACAGTTTCCCCCCACCTCATTTAAGACCATATGGCACTATTGGGCTATTTATTAGGCATTCCTAATAACTGCCAAACCCCTAAAAACAAACAAGATTTAAGTGAGTGGACATTATTGATTTCCTTACATCTAGCATTGCCAGATGTCTTCCCCATGGAGGTGGGGGTCTCCCACTGACAGGCCCCACTTCCCTACCGCCAATCCGCTCGCCATGTTACCAGTCAGTGAAATCTCACTGAGGGGCAGTTGGCTTTCCACAATGAAGTAATACCATGCACCCTTCATATAAAAATATGAGAGAAACTAAATTTATCTCTCTGCCAGGCCTGGGAATGACCCCACAAGGAACGGCAGGCACAGCCTGGGAGAAAACAAAAAGCAATCAAGCTCTGCCAAACACTTTCATCTCCCTCGGGGATAGCTATTAACCATTTGTCCAGGTCCCTGGGAATCTTTCCAGAAAACACATAAACGTTGTTCATTTGATGTAGAACATCAGCATACCTTCAGGAATCATTTTTGGGTATAAATATACCCACGCTACTCACATTGTGTGCGCGTGTGTGTGTGACCCAAGACACTGGTCACCTTGCTCTTTAACAGACCTGAATCTCTTTAAGACTGGTAGATATAACCTCTTCCCCAAAATCTATTTCCATCCCCATTTTCCACCCTTTTTCTTCTTTATTTAACTTGCAAGTGTGTTCTTCTGTGTGCATATTTACTCCTCTATTATGTTCTAATAAAAAACTCTACTAGTTAAAGATCTGCCTGGTTCATTTGAGAGTTTTCAGGGAAGGACCCCTGTATACACAGGTGAAAAGATCTCTGGTTATTCCTTCTTGCTAAAAGCTAAATTCCCCAATCAATAAATTAATTAATTATACCATTTTGGGTAACAGCCGGTGGGGGGAGGAACTTACCTTGCAAGAGAGGGAGATCCATTTGACATGCAGTGATGTGTCTGTGTCACTGCCCATGGGATGTCGGGGTGACGCTCTGGTATTTAGGCAAATTTGCCATAGAGTTTTTGCCCAAATACCAGAACGTCACCCCAAACGTGATGATGTCACTTCCAGGTCACATGGGCAGTGATGTAGACATATCACTGTATCTTGGAAGGGCCTCCCTGCTGTTCCCAGTAAGTTTCCTCCCTCCCCCCGGCTGCCAAGAGGAACCTGGCAACCCTAACTTACATCATAGCTTGTACTTTCAAACTAACAAAATTTAATTCTGGGTATAAGCTTTCATGTGCAGGCATACTTCTTCAGATTTGAAGAATTATTATTATTATTAGGGATCGTGTATCCTACAAATATACACGTTATGAGAATCAGATGTGTTAATTATGCAAATAAGATTCGCTATTTCTGCAAATTACTTTCTGAAGTTTCCATCAGTAGCTTCACCCCTGCTCCAACCTTATTCTAGGAGAAGTGCCAATGGAAACTCTTTACCTGGCCATTGTTTCCATTATCATACAAAACAGGCTTCTGCCTCCACTCTTATTTCTGTTCAGTAGAAACTTAAAAATGCATGTTGTAATGTATCAAAAAGACTTGCACCCACCATCTTACTTTGCCGCACAGGGACACCTGCTTCCTCAGTTAATATGAAAAAGGAATTCTACAAGTGAAATTTGAGAGGCAACTCACAAAGTAAAACTACAACATAATGCAATAATAAAAACAGCAAACAAAACTATGAATATTAAAACCAACTATAAAATGGCCCTCAGATATTCTGGGCAAGTAAACTGATCACCCCAGGTTGATATAATCATGCCCATATGTGGAGTTCCTTTTTCCTCCCACTCCACTAAAATTGAAACCCTCCAATAGGACTCAGAGTTTCTACCTGGAACCCTGTCACAGCAAATACACTGTACCCCTTCTCAATACAACTATAAGTATATAAAAACTTATTCCTGAATCCATCCAACTTGTAGCTGGTTTGGGACTCCCTCCTGTTATCCAAGCCTCTTGGTTGGCCCCTCTGCTCCTCAACCCCAATCTGCTGTGCTTCTCCCATCTGGTCAATTTCCCTCTCCAGAGCTGCAGCACAGACTTTAGGAGCAGGCTTGTAGGTTTTTTGGTTTCCCCCTCCTTTTCTTAGCTTCCCCCTACCCATAGGCAGATAGCTTGGTAGGAAAAGATTTCACTGTTTTAATAACACCCTTGTTTTTCCATTCTGTAAAATTGTCATTTTCTTTGGAAAAGCCATTTAGCCGTTTTTTTTAAAAAAAAAACTGGTTAGTCAAATAAAACCTGTTAAAGATCTTAATATTAAATGCCCTGCAATACAAGAGTTTTCTCCTTGTTAGCAGAAGGATGCTTTGCTCATCACACAGCCTTCAAGTGAACAGGCATTTAGGTAACACACCCATTCCTTGCTACTCAACTTAAGACAGTACTCTAGACAGGAAAATGGGATCAATTTATGTTGTGTCAGTTGCACTAAGTATCCTATTTATTTAGATTTATACCCCGCCCTCCCCGCAGAGCGGGCTCAGGGCGGCTTACAAGGGGAAAACCCATATAAAACAGATAAAAGCAATAAAACATTAATGACAATTAATAAAAATTAATTTTCTAAAAACTGGATATCCTAGGTATCCAAACTGACATTCAGCTATTAAATTTGGACCATCCTACGTAGATTCACAATAGGCAGCAGGAGAGTGAGGTGCTGGTGGCCCTTTCCCCATATATCTTCATATTTCACCAAAATTTATTATTCCCAACTCTTTCATATATAATCTCATACCCAAATTTCTTTTCCTTTAATTAAGCAGCTACTGAGGTACTGCCTTTACTTGTATTCCACTTCAATAAGCAATAAACACATAGAAATGGTTTGCCTTCTCCATACTACCACCATATTTACAGGAAAAAAGCTAGCTATTATCCATGTATTTTTAAAGGAACTTTCCCCTGTATTTCAAGTGACAAAGCATCCTGTAGTGTACATTGTTTAAGAAAGCAAGAAATAACATCAGCAATACCTTTTCAGTTTCTCCAGCTATGTCTTCATCACTGTGATCTTTGTTTTTCTTGGGGTTTATTACAGAAACAATCTGCAGGCCATAAATATATTTTTTAATATATAACGCGTATATTAATTTATTTATTTATCAAATTTATACCCGCCCTCCCCACCCTCATACCTTGCAGTTCCAATTATAATGTTTCATTCATACTATTTCAAATGCAACATAAAACCCTAAACTATAACTATTATGTTTGTTGCTATTATTGTCACTAGGATGATATAATTTGACAAAACGTGAACTTCTCCAAAACCTAACATACTTGCTTTATTATCATATACACTGGAAGTATAATAAATGCACACGAAAGTGGTAATTTTTTTTGCAGAATGGGGTTTTTGCAGAATGACTCTGGAGATGTGAGATACAGTTTCCTTAACTGATTCCAAGAGTCTTAAGAAGACTTTATATAGGATGGCATTTGAATTCTTTAGAAGAAACAGGAAAGCTTTCTTAACTATACCATTTATCCCCCCAAGGACACTGTGTTCCATTACCTGGTGGTTAGCTACTGAATCCAAATCTGGACGCATTTTTATTTGAGTTTTCCTCTAACTGCCAGCAGCTAACAGACATTAGAAAATTTTAATTCTGGTGCATTTTTCGATTTTTAAAAATCTCAATATATTATCTGCCTTGCCACCTAGAAATCACTTTTCATTAAAAGAAAATAAAAAATCTTAACGAAGCAAATTTCTCTCCAAGAAATTATTATCAAATAAATGCATGCTACTCTATATCTAGATCTGGAAACTGAACAGGTAACTCACCCTAGGAAGAGTAGACAAACTCTGAACAACAAACACAATGGGGTTGCCTGCATTTTTTATAGCTTCCACTGCTTCCTCATGAGTAGCATTTTGTAGATCTATTCCAGATACCTGCAAAGCAAAGTAGTTTTTTTGGTATACTGTGCTTTTCATAATGTGAGATTTCGGGATCTTTCCACCAATGAAATTTAACACCTTAAAACATCACCCAAATGTTTCTTGTAGCAAATATATTTAACAAAACTCACAATTAAAAACTGGCCTCAACATAGGGTTGCCAACCCCCAGATGGGATTGAGGGGTTCCCCTGATTTTGAGGCCTTAAATCTGCCACCAGCCAGCTGGCAGGTGGAGGAGCCCCACCGCCGAACAGCCCCACCACCCCCAACGTGCCCAGCATGATGATGCCATCCAGACGTGATGTCATCATGCAGGGCAAATTGCATGGGGGATGCTCTGGCATTTGGCTAAAAACTGGGTGCAAAATGAGTATCTTTTCAACAACTGTTGAAGGGGTCCCTTCTGAGGGAACATCCCCCCCTCTTCCCCCCTTTCAGAATTAGATCTTTCATGTTTTTTGTGAATTTATCAAGTTTCCTGTAAAATTGCCAGCTAGTATATATTTTAAAAATAAGAGAAAAAGGACACCTCTTGCTTTAAATACATGCTTCAGAAACACAGCTGCAAGTAATTAAGACAATATTTACATTATTGGAAGGACAGAGGTAGTGAGGCATAATGTGGGTCCGTTTTACTTTGGCAGCAGCATCAGCATGCTTGGAATAAGGGAGGAATCTGTTACATTTAGGGTGAGACAATTAATAGTGTGCCAATGATTGTTAAAATTAATAGATGTATGGGATACATATGACATATGTGGTGATCTGTTATAATTGGAATTGTATTTTGTTAATGAGATTGTTGATTATGTAAACTCGACTGGAAAATTTTGTATTTACTCTCTATTGTAAAAATTTTATTTTAATAAAATATTTTTTTTAAAGGAAATAAGGGAGGAGACCTTGCCCAAATAGACTAACAGAAAAGTAGTAAGTATATTACAGGGGAAATCCTAAACAGGTATTGGTCCAACAATTAATGTTATTATAGTAACTATTGTTAATGTATTTTCAGAATCAATGAAAGTGTCAACTTGAATGTAAGATTGAATGTAAGATTCCTGTACAGGGTAAAATGGATTTACTTATTTATTTATGTATTCACTTTGTTTGATAGAGACTGATAAGCCAGTATAACATAATGTAATATCACTGGAATATCACTGGAATCCTTTGTTTACAGATTTGTTCCTGAGGAAAGACCAGAGGTCTGAAACACTTAGAAGAAAAAGTGTTGACTGAAAGAAAGACACAGATTGATTGAGTCTGGAGCAGGCTGCTTTTGTGAATTTGGATAAGGATACAGGACTGTTAGAGGGATATAGATTGAAAGAGTCTGGAGCAGACGGCTATGTGAATTTTTATCGACCTTTGTATTTTTTTTCTATGAAGGAATATGTTGTTGTTCTTTATTATCAGACACTAAATGATGTTATGGCTTTAATATAGTCTCATTTGTTGGTGTATTGTTCTGTGGGCATCTAGCACACGTCTGTATATATTTTTTCTTTGCTTTTTTCAACTTAAAATGTTTATTAAGTTTTTTAAATTTTACAACTTTACTACAAAGCCAAAACAAAAATATAACTATATAAAAATTTAACAATACAAACATTTTGTTATAACATGAACTTACTCTTTTACATCTTTACAAACTTACTACTAATAATTACCTTTATAAGTTTAATAATACATAACATCAACGCATTTTTTGGTAAAGTACAATTTTTATTCCCTGACGTTGTGATATAATCAACAAAGGGAAACCACTTTTCCAAAAAATTGTCTTTCAAAGAGGGTAGTTCAGATTTTCAGATTTGAATAGCTAGTTTGTCCATTGTGGCTATGTCCCAAAGTTTTATGAACCATTGCTGCATAGAAGGGGTGTTTTTTGATTCCCATGATTGGGCGATCAAAGTTTTTGCCGCTAACAGAAATAGTGCTGCTAATTCAGCCTTCTGTTTGGAATGTAAGAGGTCTGGCCAAAAGTTCAACAAGATTGCTTCACGTGAGTATGGGATCTTACAACCAAGAATTTTGTTTGTCATTTCAGGGATTTTCGACCAAAAAGACGCTATGAAGGGACAATCCCACCAACAGTGTTTAAACGTTCCTACTGAACCACAACCCTTCCAACAGCTGAATTTATATGAGCTAGCCTTAAAGGTGTCATGTACCATCGAGCGTATAGTTTGTAGTTTTGCAGTTTTACATTAAGCAAGTTTGTTGAAAAAAGTTTTGAGGACCAGATTTGTTACCATTGGTCCCGATTCCATATTACACTACAGTCTTTTTGCCATAGGTGTTGTACTGATGATGTACGTTCCCAAGATTTTCTAAATAATAGTTGATATATCAGTGAAATTATTCTCCTTGAGACTAGAGTTTTATTTTGTATAAGTTTTTCAAATGGAGTAAGAGGTCTATCTAATTGGGAAATGATATTAGGATTGAGCATTAAGTGCTTAATTTGGGAGTATTGGAAGCATGAAATGTTGAAATTACCTTTATTTTCTAGTTGTTGTTTAGTAAGTAGTTTTTGATGCAAACGTAAGTCACCAAGTCTAATTATATCTTTTTCTCTCCATTTCTCAAAATTAAAACTTTTAAACCCTGGTGTATATACTTTTTCATACCAGACAGACTTTCTTGGTATACAAAAAAAAATTGGCTCAAAAATTAAAAGAAAAACACTCATACTGAAAACAGCCTGATGATGCACAAGCATTTTCACTGCACTCAACATACTGAGAACAGTTTAGAATCTGTTGGGGAGGGGGAGATCTGAAAAATGACTGCACAAATCTCTCGTGGAGATTTCAGTCATGTGAGAGGTTTCCGATCACTAATCCTCAGCCATTTTCACAGATCCCAGACTGTGTATCATTAACATATGAAGTATCTTCTGTAACAGGGAAATGCATGTGCTGTGTCTGTGTAAGAAGCACTCACATCTCTGCAGGGGTATGTTTGAGCTCATACTTCAAATGTTAACACTATGCATGATTAAAGGATGTACAGCTAATTTGCACATCGTGTATTCATATCTATAATTAGTGTTTGAAGCTACCCTGTAAACACCTATGAAGGAAGGTAGTTGTTTCTAAAGGAGATTTCATTTTTTCTTCAAAGTACAATGCTTTTAACGCTTGATCCCACCATTAGACAGTTGTGAACTGTTACACTCTCTTTAAAACAAAACAACTTACTTCAAGTATTTTATCACCAGTTTTGAGAGCTTTTGTTCTTCCTGCTGGGCTGTCTTCCAAGACTTGCTTGATAAATATACCTTTAAGCTGTTCTCCATTCTTTAGGCGCTTTATAACTGTATGTCCCCCAACAATACTGATGCCAAGGGACTCATGAGGGTCTCGGAAAATTTCAACACTAAAGAATGCAAAACAATAATTTTGCTGAACTTGGTCCTGATGCAAATGTGAACACATTGCTCTTTGTAAGGTGTAACAGAAGACTTTTAAAGTGAGAAACAATTTGCATGCTAAAGCCAAGTGGGATTTCACTAACTCTTGTCATCTTCCACTTTTGCTGAAACATGCAAATTGCAGTATTCACAGATTTCATGCCTCCACAGATCCTGTGTCTGATCTTACATGAGATGATTTTATATGATCAGAGCTTTCTGCAATAGAAAAACCATCCACTTTATCAAGAGACAAATTATGTCAAAAAACATAAAGCTGACCCTGTGTTGATCCCAAGGCCACGTTTCTTCTATGTTACCTGACCCTCTACACCTGTCCAGGGCAGGAGCATTTGCAATAGAATTCTTGCCTATTAAGGAATTTGGTGGCAAGCCTAGGTACTGACATCAGCCCCTTGAGGCTCGTCTGGCACCTACCTTACTGTCTGGTTACACTGGTGGACAACATTTATCTACTGATAAGGGACATGCCTCCCTGTTAATACTGCCTTATCCCTTTGCTGCCTTTGTCATAATACACTGCTCAAGGGGTTAGATCTGGACTAAATTTTCCACTAAAAGAAGTGAAAGTGTAATTGCCACCCTTTTTTGCCCCTCATTACCATGCCTAAAGGTCTCCTGTCCCAAGAAGCAGCATTTCTCGGAGATCAGTGGACTGCAGCAGGAGAGAAGAGACATGAAAGTTCTGTTCTTCTAGCAGAAATGGCGAGCTTATAGTTCACCATATTTTAATGGAGGGTTATTGACACTTAAATAATGAACAAATGACCAGAGAATAAATGAGCGGGAGAGTTGAGTTCAGTAATTTTCAGGTAAATTTGAAGGGACCTATAGTAGGAAAGGATGTCTGTAATCTGCTATGTCTTTATACTAATGCACAGAGTATGGGAAATAAACAGGAGGAACTTGAACTTCAAATATTGGAAAGTAAGTATGATCTGATAGGTATCACTGAGACTTGGTGGGATGAGTCTCATATATGGAGCACAGCGATTGAAAGATATACCTTGTTCAAACGGGACAGAATAAACAAAAAAGGAGGCGGGGCAGCACTATATGTCAAGAATAAATACACTCGCACTGAAATTCAGGATTTTGAGCATTGTCCTGTTGAAAGTGTGTGGGTAAGGATAGAGTGAGGGGAAAAAGAAGAGGATATTGTTGTGGGGGTATACTACAGACCTCCAAACCAATCGGAGGAACTGGATGATGCATTTGTACAACAGCTTGCTAAACTTTCACAGAGACAGGATGTTGTGGTTATTGGAGATTTCAACTATCCAGGTATTTGCTGGAAATCTAACTCTGCTAGACATGGGGCATCCCGCAGATTCTTGAATAGTCTTGCGGACAACTTCATCTCTCAGAAGGTGGAGGTGTAAACCAGAGGATCTGCTATCCTAGATTTAATCCTGACTAACAGGGAAGAACTGGTTGATGAAGTGAACGTTGTGGGATCCTTGGGGAATAGTGACCATGTCAGCTTGGAATTTGACATAGAGAAGGATGTGAAACCAGGACATAGTAGGACTCGTATCCTGGACTTCAAGAAAGCTGATTTAAAAAAAAAAAAACTCAGAGAAATATTAGGTAGGATCCCGTGGCTGGAAATGCTGAGGGGGAAATCTGC